TTTTTTTTTAGTTTTTTTTTGATTCCTCTTGTTAAGTTTATTACTATTATTATTATCCTCACTGTAATAAAGATAGTGTGTGTGTTTGAATATTTCTGGCACTTGTCTTTATTCCGGACATGTATCCAGACGAACTGTTACACTCTGCCAGCTCAGTGTGGGGCACACGGGATGGGGGTCCCTCCCAAGCCCCCCGGGCAGCCGGCGTTGGCTGGGGGGATGTGAGGACTGGGCCTGCTCAGCACAGCCCCGGCCTCGTGCCCAGCGCCTCTTTCCTGACCCACACAAGACCTTCCCGGCCCCCCCAGGGCTCCCCTGCTGCTGCCTCTGCTCCTGGCCCTGCCTTTGCTGCTCCCTTGGCTGGGGCAGCGGTTGCAGGGGGGGATGGCAGCAGCTTCAGCTCCACGGCACTTCCTGGGGGGAGTTCAGCCCGGGGGGGACGGGCAGGGACCTGATGGGGATGGACAGGGGCCCAGCAGGGACAGCCAGGGCCTGCAGGGGAAGGCACAGGGACAACCTGGCCCCCCACACTGCCAGGGCTGTCTCTGCTCCTCCTTGCAGGCTCCGTGGCCAGGCACAGTTTGTGTTCCTGGGTGCCACCATCTCAGCACTTGCAGCCGCTCAAATCAGCGCCCGCAGCTCTGCAGCAAAGCCCCAGCTCACCTGGCACACAGGGGATGGACACAGCACCTTCTTGGGGATGGGCACCTTCGCCTCTTCCCCACCACAGGGCTCTCCTTCCTCAGCAGCACCTCTGCCTTGCACTTATCCTCAGCCTCACCTCAGGGACAGCTCTGGGTTCACCTCCGCGCCACTTCTCAGCCTCACCTCAGGGCCTGGGCTCAAGGACAGGAACCTGCAGGGAGGGGACATCATGTGCAAGCTCAGGGTTGCCTGCCTGCACTGGCCTCTTGGTTTCTTTCCCCTTCTACAACCAGCCCAGAACTCAGCCTGCTTTTCTAACACCACCCATTTACACACTAACCTTGGAGATAGATATGGACAGACACCTCTATCACCCTGGAGATAGAGCCTCAAGCATGTGCTGCCATAGGAATGGCAATCAGAGAATCACAGAATCAGCCACGTTGGAAAAGACCTCTGAGATCATCAAGTCCAACCCTGGATCCAACCCCGCCGTGCTTCCCAGACCATGGCACTGAGGCCACATCCACTCTCACCTTCAACACCTCCAGGGACGGGGACTCCACCCCCTCCCTGCCCAGCCCATTCCAAGGCCTGATGACTCTCTCAGCAAAAAATTGCTTCCTAATATCCAACCTAAACCTCCCCTGGCACAGCTCAAGACCCAGCCCTCTTGTCCTACTGCTGCTTCCTGGCACAACAGCCCCAACCCCACCTGGCTCCAACCTCCTGGCAGGGACTTGCAGAGAGTGATGATTCATCCTGGGGACCTGAGGTAGCCTCTGGAATCCCATCCATGGGGCACAATCTCCTCTCCAGAGCTTGACTCACTGCAGATTTGGAAGGGAAATCTCTGCTCCCAGTTGCATCCTGAGCCCAAGGTCAGTTTGTATCCACAAGTGCTGATCCAATTGGAGCCTGGGCTCTAATGAACCTCTCCTGTGCTGCCAAACAACAGGAGCTGTATGGCCAAGGGACAAACTCTGTGATCCCTGTCAGTGTCCATGGCTCCTGTCAGTGTCCTTCAGGGAAACTGGGAGGAGGAAATGAAGAAACCAGTTTGGAACTAAACCGGCGTTAAAGTGGGAAAAACCTCCTTCCATGGAAATAAAACTCAGACAGTTTTTCCTGGGCTGAACGAGCTCATTCAGGGATGAAGGACTGGGACTTTTGTGGACACTTTTGCTGGTTTCTTTGGACACTTGTGATCCTTCAGAGAGCCCCTGGAAACACTCTGCTGTTCACTCCCAGTGCCACCAGTGCCTGGGTCCTGTCTGCAGCAGCAGATTGCAGTGGGATGGGAGAAATGCTTTTCTGAGCCTCTGGGCTGGACACAGGCACAGCCTGACCCTGAACCCAAGGGAAACAAACACAAATTCCACGGCTTTAGCTGGAGCAAGGCGGGGGGGGTTTCCTGAGGGCAGCACTAGACCAGACATTTGTGTGTGTGTGTGAGACAGGCAGAAGCACAAATGCCTGCACACCCCAGAGCAGTCAGTGTGGGGCTGTGCTTGCTGCTGCAGAGACCCCCAGGGAACAAACCCAGGCAATAGTTTGAGTTTATTCCTTGCTCTGTGCCAGTGGAATAGAATGTTCCACAGGAGCTCTGTCCCCCTCTGTGGCATTGGGTGGCTCGAAGCTGAAGACGGGGAGGGTCAAGTGCAAGTTCCCTTCTGAAGTGTGTGTCCCTAAGGAGGACACTTGCCTTATTATTGCTTATTATCTGTAAGATCTTAATAGATATATCAAACAATACCTAAGGATGGATTCTATAGAATATGTGCCATACATATGATACAGAATATATCTGATTATTGCTTTATCTGCCTGTCCAGACAGATATTGTGTATGCACAGAGATTGTATTTGAGGGATATGTTCCTCTCAATACCCTGTGAGCTCCACTCCCAAGGCCAGCAAATTCCTGAAGCTCCCACTTGTGTGCCCTGCAGGTTTTGGCAGATTTGCAAGAGCAGGGGAATCATTCCCTGCAGCCCCTTTGCACTGTAGGAAATGGGAGCACTGTGCACATCCTGCTGCCTCCAGATTCCATTCTGGGTGTGGGAACGACCCTGTGGGGAGCAAAGAACTGCCTGGTTCTGCAGGAGCTGGAGATGGCAAGGAGCAGCAGGACCAAGTCAGGGGCCTGGGGGGCTTTGGGGGGCTTTGGGGTCTGGGAGGGTCCTGGGGAAGCTGGGGAGGGGCTTTGGGGTACAGACCAGGACAGACCAATAGAGACCAGTACAGAGCAGTACAGAGCAGTACCTCCTCACTGCTCCCCAGATCTCTCCTGGAGCTGGGCTACGTTGTCGTGGGACACCTGAGCCCCCCCCCAGTGCCCTCCCAGTACAGCCCAGTGCCCCCAGTACAGCCCACTGTGTTCCTGTCCCAGGGTGTGGGTGATCCCTCTTTGGGGAGGGTTGGAAGGGATTTGAGGGGGGGCTGTGGGAGATTTGGGGGGATCTGAGGAGTTTGGATGGGGATTTGGGGGTTTTGAGTGCCTTTAGGGAAGTTAAAAGAGGTCTTGGGGACATTGGGGGGTCAAAGGTATCTATGGGGGGAGGGGATTAAAGGGAAAATGGGGGTTAGGAGACATTTGGGGGGGGGGTTATTGAGGCCTGGGTAAGCAGAGGAGGAGCTGCACCAAGAGCAGGTGAGTCCTGAGGTGTCCCCAAGACCCTTTTGGTGTCCGCAGTTCTTCCCTTGACACCTCGAGACACCCCTGGTGTCTCCAATGTTCCCAGGGCCTCTCCATGGCCCCAGTTCCCCCCTTGGCACTCCCAACTGCACTGTCCACAAACCCCACCCCACTGTCCCCAAACCCCATCCCTGATGTCCCCAACACTCCATCTCACCCCAGGAGCCCCCCCTGGACCCTCTGACCACAAAAACACCCCCCCACACACTCACAGAAAGGCCAAGGGCATCTGGGGACATGCTGGGGACAGTTGGGGGGCTTTGTAGGGCATTGGGGGATTACTGGGGGATACTGGGACACACTGGGGGGAACCAGGAGGCACTGGGAGGGACTGGGGGGTTACTGAGGGACACTGGGAGGGACTGGGGAGTTACTGGGGGATTATTAGGACACACGGGGAGACACTGGGAGGTTACTGGGCCATACTGAGGGTTACTGGGTGCTCACAGGAGGATCACTGGGCCATACTGGGGGGCAGTGGGAGGTCACTGGGACACACTGGCTGGTCACTGAAGGGGTCACTGGAAAGTCACTGGGATATACTGGGGTCTAGGGATCCCCTTACCCGGATGTGGTACATTTCCCCACCTGGATTTTGGGAGGAATCCCTAGGACCCCTCCCCTTGGGGTTGGGGGACCCCCTGAACCCACTGCTGGGCTTTAGAGGACCCCCCCAAAATGCCCATAAAACTCCTGAAATCTCCCCCTCGGCACATCAAAACTATCTCAAGGTCCCCCCAAATGCCCTCAGAGACCTCGTCCCTCCTCAGCACCCTCTAAACCCTCTCAGTGACCCGCAAAACCCACCCGGGACCCCCCAGTCCCCCTCAGAGACCCTCAAAACCGTCTGAGACCCCGTAAACCCCCTAGAGACCCCAAAACTTCCTAAAAGGTCCCGTCAGGACCCCCAAACCTCCTCAGAGACCCCCAAAGCCCACCTGGCACCCCCAAATCTCCTCAGAAACAAAAACCCCCTCAGAGACTCCCAAACCCCTTCAGGAACCTTCAACCACCCCTTGAGTCCCCTCAGGACACCGAACTCCCCCAAGGACCCCTCAAAACCTGCTCGGGGATCCCCGAACCCCCCCCAAACCATCCCGAGCCCCCCCCGGGGGGACTCACAACACTCAGAGCGAACCGCAGGCCCCGCCGCCATCACCGGTTCCCGGCAGCCAACACGGCGATCTGCGCGCGCACCGCGTTTAGAGAACGCCGCCGCAGCCAATCAGCGCGCGGCCACGCCCCCGCAGCCCCGCCCCCGCCCCTGCCGTGTTGGCTGCCGGGAATCGGTGATGGCGGCGGGTCGGTCGGTGAGCTCTGAGTGCCGGCGGGGGTGCGGGAGAGCGGGGTCTGGGGATCCCCTCGGGGGCTGCGGGGGGCGCGGCTGGGGGTGGAAAGGCCGGAGGGCTCGGGAGGGCTTAGCTGGGGGGTTCGGAGGTTCGGAGGACCCTCTCGGGGGCCGCGGGGCCCGGAGGCCTCCCAAGAACCCGGAAGGGTGATTCGGTTCCTGAGAAAGTCCCTCGGAAAAAAAATTCGAAACCACCCAACCAAAAAAAGAACCCTAAAAAAAGGAAAAGCGAGAAAAAGGTGAAGGAAAAACTGCAAGGGCCAGGATGATTTTATTGCTTTGCTTCAGTTTTTCCTTGGTCTCCTCCTTCTCAGATTCCTTGCTCTCTTCCTTTACAGAAAGCTCTTCTGCTGTTGTGTGGTTTTGTGGTCCTTTAGGGGCTTTTAGAGGTCCCTGAGGAGGTTCGGGGGGGTCTCTGAGGAGCTTTGGTGTCGCGAAGGGACTTAGGGGGTAGGTTGAAGGTCCCTGAAGGGGTTTGGGAATCCCTGAGGGAGTTTTGGAGTTTCCGAGGGAATTGAGAGGTCCTGGGGGCCTTGGGGGGGGGTGTCTTTGAAGCAGTTTTGTGGGTTTCTAGGGGGATTTCAGGAGTCCCAGACGGTTTTGAGGGTCCCTGAGGGGGTTTTTGAGGTCCCTGAAAGGGCTTGGGGGTCCCAGGTGGGTTTTGCAGGTCACTGAGAGGGTTTAGGGGGTCCTGGGGGAGAGATGAGGTCTCTGAGGGAATTTGAGGTGTTTTTGATGGGTCCAGAGGTGGATTTCTGAGGGGATTTCAGGGGTTTTGCATGGATTTTGGGGGGTCTCCGTGTCAGTCCTGAATGGCCATGGCCAACTAAAATTCCTATAAGGCCATTTCCCATCCCACCACAACGCCTCTGCCAGCCCAGTGAACCGACTCCAGGGAAAGGGGATCCCAATTTCCCCCTCGAACCCCAGAGACCCTCAAAACTCAGCAGGCAGAGACCCCAAAGGAAAGGGGGCCTGGGTGTCCCCTAAAGCCCAGCAGTGGGGTTCAGGGGATCTCCCAGCCCCCAGGGGAGGGGTCCTGGGGGTGCCCCCAAAAGTCCAGGGGGGAGCAGAACCGACTAAGGGGATCCCAGTGCCCCCAGTATAGCCCAGTGACCTCCCAGTGACCCTCAGTACAGCCCAGTAACCCCCTTCAGTGACTACCCAGTGTGTCCCAGTGACCTCCCACTGCCCCCCAGGATGACCCAGTGATCCTGCAGTGAACACCCAGTAACCCCCAGTATGGCCCAGTAACCTCCCAGTGTCCCCCCACTGTGTCCTGGTAATCCCCCAGTAACTCCCCAGTCCTTCCCAGTGGCCCCTGGTTCCCCCCAGTGTGTCCCAGTATCCCCCAGTAATCACCCAGTGCCCCACAAAGCCCTCCAGTTGTCCCCAGTGTGTCCCCAGATGCCCTTGGCCTTTCTGTGAGCGGGGTGGGGGGGGGTTGGGTCAGAGGGTCCAGGGGGCTCCTGGGGTGAGATGGAGGGTTGGGGACATCAGGGTTGGGGTTGGGGACAGTGGGGAGGGGTTTGTGGACAGTGGAATTGGGGGTGTCAAGGGGGGAGTTGGGAACATGGGGAGGCCCTGGGGACATTGGAGACACCAGGGGGGTCTCGGGGTGTCAAGGGGGGAACTGGGGACACCAAGAGGGTCTTGGGGACACCAGAGGGGGTCTCAGGACTCACTTCCTTGTGGTGCAGCCCTCCTCTGCCCGCCCAGGCTTCATTACCCCCCCCCCAAATATCTCCTAACTCCCATTTTCCCTTTAATCCCCTCCCCCCACAGAGCCCTTTGATGCCCCAATGCCTCCAAAACCCTTTTTAACTCCCCCAAATACACCCAAAGACCCCCAACCCCCCCAAATCCTCATCCAACCCCCCCAAATCTCCCCCAGCCCCCCCTCAAATCCCTCCCAACCCCCCCCCTCAAAGAGGGATCACCCACACCCTGGGACAGGAACACTGTGGGCTGTACTGGGGGCACTGGGCTGTACTGGGAGGGCACTGGGGGGGGGCTCAGGTGTCCCAGGACAAGGTGGCCCAGCTCCAGGAGAGATCTGGGGAGCAGTGAGGAGGTACTGCTCTGTACTGGTCTGTACTGGTTTGTACTGGTCTGTACTGGTTTATACCCCCAATCCCCAAAACCCCTCCCCAGCTCCCCCAGGACCCTCCCAGACCCCAAAGCCCCTCGGGCCCCTTCAGGTCCCTGACTTGGTCCTGCAGCCCCTTTGCACTGTAGGAAATGGGAGCACTGTGCACATCCTGCTGCCTCCAGATTCCATTCTGGGTGTGTGGGGAGCAAAGAAATGCCTGGTTCTGCAGGAGCTGGAGATGCTCAAGGGGCAGCAGGACCAAGTCAGGGACCTGAAGGGGCCCGAGGGGCTTTGGGGTCTGGGAGGGTCCTGGGGGAGCTGGGGAGGGGTTTTGGGGATTGGGGGTATAAACCAGTACAGACCAGTACAAACCAGTACAGACCAGTACAGAGCAGTACCTCCTCACTGCTCCCCAGATCTCTCCTGGAGCTGGGCCACCTTGTCCTGGGACACCTGAGCCCCCCCCAGTGCCCTCCCAGTACAGCCCAGTGCCCCCAGTACAGCCCACAGTGTTCCTGTCCCAGGGTGTGGGTGATCCCTCTTTGAGGGGGGGGGGGTTGGGAGGGATTTGAGGGGGGGCTGGGGGAGATTTGGGGGGGGTTGGATGAGGATTTGGGGGGGTTGGGGGTCTTTGGGTGTATTTGGGGGAGTTAAAAAGGGTTTTGGAGGCATTGGGGCATCAAAGGGCTCTGTGGGGGGAGGGGATTAAAGGGAAAATGGGAGTTAGGAGATATTTGGGGGGGGGGGTAATGAAGCCTGGGCGGGCAGAGGAGGGCTGCACCACAAGGAAGTGAGTCCTGAGACCCCCTCTGGTGTCCCCAAGACCCTCTTGGTGTCCCCAGTTCCCCCCTTGACACCCCGAGACCCCCCTGGTGTCTCCAATGTCCCCAGGGCCTCCCCATGTTCCCAACTCCCCCCTTGACACCCCCAATTCCACTGTCCACAAACCCCTCCCCACTGTCCCCAACCCCAACCCTGATGTCCCCAACCCTCCATCTCACCCCAGGAGCCCCCTGGACCCTCTGACCCAACCCCCCCCCCACCCCGCTCACAGAAAGGCCAAGGGCATCTGGGGACACACTGGGGACAACTGGAGGGCTTTGTGGGGCACTGGGTGATTACTGGGGGATACTGGGACACACTGGGGGGAACCAGGGGCCACTGGGAAGGACTGGGGAGTTACTGGGGGATTACCAGGACACAGTGGGGGGACACTGGGAGGTTACTGGGCCATACTGGGGGTTACTGGGTGTTCACTGCAGGATCACTGGGTCATCCTGGGGGGCAGTGGGAGGTCACTGGGACACACTGGGTAGTCACTGAAGGGGGTTACTGGGCTGTACTGAGGGTCACTGGGAGGTCACTGGGCTATACTGGGGGCACTGGGATCCCCTTAGTCGGTTCTGCTCCCCCTGGACTTTTGGGGGCACCCCCAGGACCCCTCCCCTGGGGGCTGGGAGATCCCCTGAACCCCACTGCTGGGCTTTAGGGGACACCCAGGCCCCCTTTCCTTTGGGG